TGATAGAAAAAAAATTAATCTAATAAAAAATAGATTGGAACGACAAACCCGGTCCAAAGTTCGAGCCATCGAATTCGGTGAGATTGATCTCGCCGTTTCTTCTGAAGTGGATTCCATCTCACTTTTCGACGGGTAATTCGACGCATCCCCTACCTGGCGCGCCAACTGTCGAAACATGATTTCGGCAATAATAAAACGGGGTAGCGCACGAGACCTAAAAGTGGATGGATGTGGAGACAAAGGATTTAGACAGGTTCAGGCCCTCTCAATGAGAGGTAATACCCTACTCCTGTTTGGGGATTTGAATCCGCCGGGTGTATTATAGATCTGACGATCTAGTTGTCTCATGTATGCCCCCTAGAGGGCCTCCTGCCCACCTTATATAGGATGGGGGGCAGGATTACAAGATAGAAACCTTAACCAATACGGTATCGGTTTCCTAAATCAGGACTTTAGGCCGTTCCGTAATATACAAGGAAACGTAACACCCAAGTCATGATCTGTTACATATTACATAGATACAAGTTATCCCCTATAACTAGTCGGATAACCATGCCGTGTGGGTATGGGGTACCCATAATCTCCACACACAGCAATATTTGGCTTGTACTCTTTTGGAAAGGTTTGATTTTCAATATTTGGTTGTAGCTACCCAGCAGCACATGTTTAGGTGCTCTACAATATTTCTATCTAATTCAACCAGTACACCTGGACTTGCAGATATGTTAGTTCGGTCATTGCAATTGGAGCAATGTTTTCAATGACACACTGTCTAGGGAGCAGTGCGTACCTTTACATATCTGTTGCATTTGCACAGATGTTGAAGGAAATAAGTATGTGAGCTCTCTGGTTTTTGATCAAGTTATAGGTTTCTATTAATTTAAAATATGATGTTAATGTACTCTTTGTTTGAGCATTGTAGTAGCTGTGTTTCTCCTCGGAGCTGCCCTTGGCCTTGAAGAAATGAGCTGTAAAATGCTTGCTATCATGCCTGTCGAGCTGTAAAATGCTTGCTATCATGCCTGTCATCAGCATTGGGGTTATTGTGGCATCTGTTGGTGAAAATACAATCAGCTTGATCTGTGTGGTTTACCAGATGGGTGGAATCGTCACAGAAGCCCTTAGACTGATCTTCATGAGATTTTTCTGAAGAAAAAGGGAGAGGCTTAACTTGATTTCCATGATGTACTATGTGAGCCCTTGCATATATCTTGACCACTTGATCTCATAATTAATTAACTTGAAAATTGTTCTTAAACTGCATATGCACTTTCACCCTAAATCCCTCAGTCTTCCTTGTCATTTCCAGAACTAGTGCACTGACAGCTCGTGTTACTGGAATTGTGAGGGATTGGACTGTGGTGTTGCTGTCAGCTGCTATCTTTGCAGATACACAGCTTACCTTTATAAATATAATTGGTTATTTGATAGGTATATTATACTGTTTTTTCTCTTATTGGTTTAACTTTATTTTCTCTTACACCCTTGTTCAAGTTTGAGCCCATTAATTTCTCTTACACCATCTTTTCTGCAATCTGGAGCAATAGCAGGTGTTGTTGCATATAATAATCATAAGCTCAAAGTGAAACCCCAATGGAACGAGCAGCAGGAGGTCCTCAAGATGTTGAGACATCATCAATCTCGACTAAAGAAGCTTCATAGCACTGAATGCTGGGCTGTTTTGAACAGATTTCTGAAGAAGGTAATACCTATTCCAAAGCTTGCTAATGCATAAATCTGTAATAAGCACAATTGCACAAAACATGCTGATGGTTATTACATATGCTTGTGAGACTGAGTTGTGATACAGGAGAAATGAGCTCTCACTTCTCCTATGAGTTGGCCAGCTCTCCTTGGATACATTCCTTTTTTTCTCTCTTCCTACCAATCAACACGGAAGAAATTTGTACAATGATTCTTAAAGAACTTAAGGGTATACATTAGCGTACCATTTTGTGCTATTGTAGTAGGCACGAAACAGTCAGAGCACAACATACATACAAACTAGGTCCAGTAGATGTATTTTGTTGTCATTTGAAAATTTAAAACTGCTGTAGGCTTGTAGCAATTCATCAGGTTCTTCAAAATATGCAACCTGATCCTTATATGATGTTATTATTTACCTAATAGGATGTCCTGCCAATGAAGGGCTGTTTGTATGAAATATAAGCGTTTGGATGCAGGTTGATATATACTCCACTTTGTTTCCACTTTATTGGTATGCATCCTCTCCGTCTCAAAAAGATTCAAATCCTGGCTATGTCTTGATTAGTTGATTTATTTTGGGAGGGAAGATGTATGTCATTTTGGAGAAAGCTGTTATTGATGTTAAGACTTAATTTGCTGTCAAGTCATATGGTAGTAATAAACTATTCCACTTTATTTCCTCAGACCTACCTGCAAGTTTATAATAAACTATTCCACTTTATTTCCTAGACTTTATATTTTCGTGGCTCAGCGTCTCCAGAACCTGAGTGTGTTTTTTCTGCGTGCTTGCTGTTGTCAGTTGGGTGGTGGGTTTTGTTGATGATGGCTTGAGTTGCTAGCTCCTGTTATTTGGCCCTGGTTTGCTCCACACATGCAGTGGAGGTTAGTAGCTCGTTTTAGTTTGTAGGGTCTTCAGGTGCTGGCAGTTTGAACTGTAGCTGTTCTTGGCTCTTGTTTTGGAGGTTTAAGAACTGTAGAACTTCTCATTTCTGGTAATGGAAATGGGGGCTTCATGGCTTCATATAAACTAGCCACATAAGCCACGCGTTGCGAGGCTCTTAAGACCCGTTTAAAAGATGTGTATATATAGGTCAGGCCAACAGTGCCCTGCCGTTGAGATCTCCTTGATGGGAAAAATTTCGAAAGTTTGCTCAAGAAAAAACAAACGTTATATATTTATGACAATAGAGTATTATTGTATGATAAAGAAATACTAACTTGTTTCTCCGTCTATTTTAAAATATATAAGGCATTTTTATTTTGAGAAAAATCAAAACATAAAATCTTGTCTAATGAATGGATTAAAAGTACAGGATTGGATATGTGATTAATGTTATGACTTTTTATTTGATTTTTATATCATTATATAATAAAGTAGTATTGTTAGATTTTTATTTGACTATTTTTATATGGCGTCGATTTTGTAGGTATTGATAATAAACGAAAGAAAATAGTAGTAGTTAAAGTATAATATTGAAAAGATTGTTTGAAAAGGTAATTATATTTATATATATCTCAATACATTTTAAAATAAAGGGAGTAATTTGTACATATGCATACCTGGTATGATTGGATATTTGATTAATGTTATGACTTTTTATTTGATTTTTATATCATTATATAATAAAGTAGTATTGTTAGATTTTTATTTGACTATTTTTATATGGCGTTGATTTTGTAGGTATTGATAATAAACGAAAGAAAACAGTAGTAGTTAAAGTATAGTATTGAAAAGATTGTTTGAAAAGGTAATTATATTTATATATATCTCAATACATTTTAAAATAAAGGGAGTAATTTGTATATATGCATACCTGGTAAAAAAATTAGTACAAATGCATATTAGTAATACAGATGTTCCAAAAAAAGTTCATTGTTCACTCATCCTACACATACCAATACAAACATCAAAAGACTAAAATACCCTACTTTATCTCATCCTAATATAACTATTTATCACTTTATCTACTTCCAATGCAATTATTCTTTACTATTATAAACTTTGATATAATTATTACTAAAAATCAATTTATTTTGAGATAAATGGGATGAGCTAAAAATAATCTTAATATACGACAGAGGAAGTACTTAATAAAAATGCTTAAAAGAAGACTTGCTACACTGTTACATATGCATATTAACATACATCATGTAAGGGTGTGTTTAGTTCACTCGAAATTTAGAAGTTTGGTTGAAATTGGAACGATGTGATGGAAAAGTTGGAAGTTTATGTGTGTAGAAAAGTTCTGATGTGATGAAAAAGTTAAAAGTTTGAAGAAAAAGTTTGGAACTAAACTCGGCCTAAGTAGCCTATTTGTCTGCTTAACCAACCGATCACTGATCACATATGGCAAGTACGGGAGTGACAGGAAGATGGGCGAAGCTTCCTGAAGCCTGTGCTTCTTTGCTTGACCGTGACACACTCCAGATCCAACGGTTCAAATGAATCTTTCTTCCATCGGATGGTCTGTATTTAATTGATGATGTGGCGCACTGAGATGGTGAAAAACTCTAGTTTTTTCACACTACTTTAGATATAGAGGATCAGAGGATTCATGTTCCTGAAAGTGAAAATGAGCTACTAGATGCTATTCTAGTGCTCCATGCAATGAGTAGTATGTTATGGCCGAGTTTAGTTCCAAACTTTTTCTTTAAACTTCCAACTTTTTTATCACATCAAAATTTTTCTACACACACAAACTTTCAACTTTTCTGTCACATCGTTTCAATTTTAACCAAACTTCTAATTTTAACGTGAACTAAACACGCCCTATATCTCAGACGGTCAGACCTGCCTGAGCATAGCTTGCCATCGGCTGAAGACGCCATGTAATGATGGCCGTCGGATCGTGCGTGGACGTCCCAATTCACGTAGCTTTCATGTATAGTGGCGCCCGCGCCAATGTGGTGCAAAAATTTGAACTTCCCGCAAGAAGCCCAAGAAGGCCAGGTCCTGCGTGCTGAGCCCAAATTAATGGGCTTGAACGACGGAAGAGTAATGTGACTCACATGCGGCCCATATATATTGGGCCAGAACAGTGTTGTAGTTCATGTTCAGCCCATACATATTGGGCCAGTACTTTTTGAGCTGCCAGCTTGTCAGTTTCACACTTTAACTCTTTCTTGAACTGCATTGAGTTTGCTTTGTAATCCCAATAAAAATACGGAAAGAACAGGTACAAAATGGAGCACAATAATCTAAAAATTTTGATTGAATCTCAACTACCATCTTAACAAGGGTTGTTGAATATTTGAATTCCAGACCATATTGACACCATGGCAACCAGCCTCTCTGAAGGCATAGAAATAGAAAGAAAAATGTAGGCATTAACATAAATACATTTACAATATCTCCAGAAGCAATTTAGAATGCAGAATTTGCAGATTGGTAACTAAGATACAAAGTGGCTAGTACAAACTGTTTTGACTATGTCACCATTATAGCCACACCTTTTCAATGAAGGACAACATAAATCAAAAGTTAAAGATGAACATGTTACATTTACATCACTACATGATAAGAACTGTATTTGTGAGATGGCACTTGGACACAGTTTGACGCTCTGTCCTGCCCATTTTTATTGATTATGGCAGATGTTCCTAGCAAAAAGACAAATATTCCATCAGAAAAACAGTCTCAACTCTCAAGCATGTTTTGGTTGCTACAGAAGACTATCAACAAAATGCAGAAATTTAGGCTATACCTGTATAGTTGGGCCAGTATACATGCCAGGGCGCATATTAATATTCACCGGTACGTTTAAGGCCTCAAGCCAAGCATAATTATCTGGCCCATGGACTACTTTTGCTTGTCCAGCTGCTGCAGTTGGAGTGATCCGTGAGAAAAATCAAACATGATATAGCATAGTGAAAATGATCACTTTTGTGTTTTGACAATATATCAACAAATTAAGTTTTCTTCTCATATAAAATGAACATAATGTATAAGGTAATTGCTGTTCTTGACAGAAAAGATCTGAACAGCATTGTGACTAATAATATATGTTTTGAACAACTACCAGCCAATACCAGAGATGGCTGGTATTCTGCTTCCGCCAAAAGATTTAGTTAAACATGAACCTGACAGAAATATGTAATATGACGACAGTGAGGGATTTCACTTACAGAAGCTAGAAAATGGATAATCATGAAAATAGGGGCAAACACGGCCAGATGATTCAGAGTATGGTGGGGCAATGACATCAAGAACAGCACAAGATTTTACTGAAGTGAAGCAGTGCATGTTCCCACCACTTTGGGGATACAAAACAGCCAGTGGCAGAGCCAGGATTACATTATAGTGGGGGCTGAACTAAAAGTGGCCGAGAAAAGTTGAGACATGTCTTATGTAAATTGACTATATGTCTAATACAAAGTGTAAATATATAGAATTAACAAGAAATAAGCATTATCCATACCAAAACAATATTGAAATATCCAATAGATAATGACATGATGTGCGACACTAGTACACCCTATCACCAATTATTCTTCATCAGGGTAACCTATACAAAAGAAATGTCAAATAACATGTGAGCAGTGTTCTTTTTGACATCTTCGCAATCTAGCAATATAACAAAGTAGCAAACTAGGAATCAAAATCTATGATTTTTTGAAGACTTGAACTATCAATAACAACTAGCCATGACAATTGAAATTGATTTTAAATGACAAATCAGAAATTTTATATACCTCACTTGTTCAAATCCTCAATTGTTGAGTTGTTGCCTTGCCCCTTGACGCTTGCTGCTGCTTGCCTTGCTGCCTTGGTGGTTGGTGCCGTCCGGCTTGCCGCCTGCCTTGTTGCTGCCCGGCGCTACTTGCCTTGTTGCCTTGCCTCAGTTGCCTGGCTGCTGCTGTGCCGGCGCGCCGCCGCGTCCCCCCGCCAGCCCGCCCGCGCGCCGCGCCCTGCCTGGCTGCCTTGCTGCCGCCCGGCGCCCCCAGGCCCCAGCAGCCAGCGGCCGGTGAGCCGCGTGCCCTAGCTGCTGCTGGCTGCTGCAGTGCCGGCGCGCCGCCGCCGCGCGTCGCGTCCCCTTGCCGACCGCCGGCCGCCTCACCGGCGCTTCGAACTGGAAGCCGTCGCGCGCGAGTGCGCTCGTGTGCCGCCGCCGCCACGAGTCTCCGCCTCTCTTCGGTTGGGGAAAGAGATTAGGGTTGGCCGGTTGGGTAGAGTTGTGGGATATTTTGGGCCTTCTCAGCCTGTTGGGCCTTCTAAAATCTCAGAACAAAGTCTATTTCAGACCCTCTTGGGATTAAAATTGGCGCCCCCACGCTGTCTCCGCCACTGAAAACAGCAGTTGGACAAGGGGCATTCAGAACATCATCCGTATGTAACTTTCCAAGTTTCACTGCACATCAGGAGAAAGAAAAAAAAAATCCTTAATATACCAGAACCCGAAAAATCATCAAGGCATAGAAATGAGCAATCTAAAATGATGCCTGAGCAACAGTGCAACACTAGTGACCAATAGGGCTGGGTAGTATCGATACTATGCCACAACCGCTATTATTCATTAACTTGCTATTCTAGAAACCATCTGAAGCATAAATGTTTTACACTTCTATTCTCAGAGACAACAAGCTCATTAAGTCATAACTCTGCAATGCAATATATACTAGTAGATAAATAAAAACAAATATTTGAAACAGGGTATGAAAAATAACCTGGCTTGCCACTTGCTAGAACAGCAGGCTCTACCCAATCATACGATTTGACATGCATCGAACCATAGAGTAATTTGCTCAATACAGTCATTCCCGGATGATCATGGAGAGGAATGACCGCCGACGTTGGTAAGCAGAATATTCCAATCTATGGAACATACAGGAAACAATTGCAGGTTAGCAGAGAAGATATACAAGTATTCATTAAATTCTACTCTTTCACAGAAGTGTTACAATACAAGAAGATGACCAAGTTGAGCATCCACATACAGAGAAGGCGTCACACTCGTAGACATGCAGATAAGTGATGGGTTGCGCCCATCTAGCAACCCTCGCTGAATTCTTCAGGAAGTTTGATTCAAAGAACCCAAACCCTCTTCCATCCTCGAGATTATCATCTCTGAGTCCAACATCAACAGGAGTTATTGTATCTGAACACAAAAATCACATCCAATTCCTCAATACATCAGCATACGAACGATTTTGCAGAGGAAAGAGCAATCAATTTGCAGTCCGAACTCTGAACCAAGAACAAAAACAAGATTGGGCGGCGGGTCAGGTCAGGTCAGGTCACCTACCCATCAGAGAGGAGATGGCGCGGATGGCGTGGTCGGGCGGCGGGGACGACGGTGAGGAGGACGCGGCGACGGAGGACGGCGATGGGAAGGTGCGCTTGCAGAGCTCGTACAGCGCCTGCACCCGCGACGGCGTCGACGTCGCCGGTGGCCGCGTCGGCATGCCCCACCCCATTGATGAGGCCGTCGACGACCTAGATGTCCCCCTCTCCCGCTCTTCCAGCTCGCTCCCTTCTCGCCTTCTTCCTCCTCTTCTCCCTCCTCGCGTGGTCGCCGGAGAGGAGCAGCGCCGCCGCGGCGAGCGGTGTCGCGACGCGAGGGCTCAGGCGGCGCGTGGCGTATTGTCTCGTCTCTTCCAGCGCGAGGATTAGGTTGCTGTTCGTGGGCCGTGATGGGCGGCCCAATATGGGCCTTAGTTGTATTAGTAGTATTTACTAGTGGGCTTTGAGTTTAAACTTTTTTTTTAGTTTTCCTTTTCTTTTTTTACTAGAAATTTGACTGGAATTGTGAGCTCCTTCAAGCTTTCCATCACAGAGCTACATAATTTTATAGCAGATACAGAAGATCAATTTGCCACTCGATTATACTTGTTCACATACTGGTCCGGACATTTTGTGGCTACTTTCACTAAAAATTTATAGCTGATGCATTGTGTTCTCGCCTTCTCGCAGAAATCTTGGTCAACACCACCATCGTCTCTAATCTTTAAATGTAACTCAATTCTGTATAGTGTACCAAGTACTCGATTATTAGGTCCTGTCAAAGTTAATGGTTCCTCCTGTAAATAGATTAGGGAAAATCATGTCAGAAATGCCCGCAAAAAACACCAAACTCGACAAGTCCAATACAATTAAGACAATGCCAACTGTATGTTAAGAGATTCGGGTACTTTCCTCTGGTCATAACGCAGTTGACTTTGACAACAAAATTTGATAATTTATCTTATTAAAAAAATACAATTATTTTTTTTGACTTGTTTTATTGTTAAAGGTACTTTAAACATGATATTTTTGCATATTTTTACACTAAACTTTTAAATATGATAAATGATCAAACTTTATGATCAAAATCAACTGCATTAAATATTTATAAAGGGAGCACATACTACGTACATATAATAATTTTAAGTATTTTACCATCAAAGTTGGGTTTGCATAAATAGAAAATACAACTCAACTAATGGTTCCAAGCGAGTAAAGTACATGATTTGTTCTTTTCTTCAAATGAGAGAACATTATTGTGCATCTGCACATCAGACTGTCTCACTAATCAAGAACAATGTAGCCAACAAGATTCAATCTTTTTGTAACGGATTGGTGTATTTTGAGATGGATTCAATCTTTTTGTGGCATAACACTGTCATCAAGCCATGGCTTCTGAATTAAGCTCTAGACCCTACTGAAACCAGAAAATTACCAACACAACAATTCCCTAGATCTTAAAAATGGCAAGCATGGCATTCATACTCACACATATTGATCACGCATAAAAACACACAATAAAGTTAATTACCAGCGTAGAGAATTAAGTTACCTGTAATAATATTCCTCAGACTAGATACCTACAAATCTCACTGGTCCATAAAGTGACCATGATAGCCAAGTTCTTCGGGCGAACATCAAGCTTAGCTAATCCTTGAAGCATACCCTTCCTCACATCAACAGCAAACACAACTTCTTCTTTTTTTTTTTTTTTGCGGGGGACAGCAAACACAACTTCTAACCTATCCGTTTTCATGGGGCTAGTTATAGAGAGCAAGTAAACCACATCCTCATCCATGCTTATGGTGGGGTTTCCAATTGGAAGTTCCTTGAACATTGTTTCAATTGTCTCTCTGTCGTCGTCGTCGCTGCAGCTCAGGTTAGAACGACATGTGCCGCGCGCTCAAGGTGATGTGTTTATCTTATAATTTGTAATTCTTATTATCTTATATATGTTACATCCATCCAGCAGCAACCAAGCAAGTAATCAGGAATCAAACAGGGTAAACTATACATATATATCAGGCTGCTCACATAATCAATACACATATACTAATTGTAATGTCTGAGTTATCTGAATGATAGATATATTGACGAATTAATTATGGAATAATAATAATGTACACTAGTACTCACCATAAGAGCAATACAATTTCTCCTCCACTACCTCCATGTCGAGGGATCGATTAGCGCTACAAGGGGAAGAAGAATCTCCATCTTCTTCGGCAAGCTCCCGCTTGCGCTTGATTGTTGCAACCATGAGCCGATCCCCCGCAACCGAACCGTCGTTGCCGCCCTCCGCCATCTGCGAGCGTTGCTGCTGATGCGCGATATGATGGAGATAAATGAACAAAAAAAGAAGAAGAGGCGATTGCATCGAATTCGGAAGAAGAGGGGATCGATGCAGCGTCAAAAAAAAAAAAAAAGAGGGGATCGATGTGCGCGCGCGTACCAGGGAGATGTGGCCGCCGCCCGCAGAGAGAGGGAAAGGAAAACTAGGGTAATATAATTATTGTGATGTGGCGGAAGAACATAACGGACTAAACTACTTGGTTGGATCGGATCACTCGTGAGACAATTTGTTATCATTTTTTGATTTTTTGATTTTTTTAATTTTTAAAATAAACTCTCGTAAAATTTGTTTCCAAAAAATAAATCTTTTTCACTACGCCAAACCCCGTCTAACGTGGTAAAACAGCATTTTGTTTTGGCACCCCAGTTAAGATGGCGTGGTGAAACAATATTGCCACGTTGGGTTAAGATAGTCTGTCTGGCGTGACCAAAAGTTCGTGGAAATAAGTTTTTGAGAGAGTTTATTTGTAAAATTTAAAAATAAAAAGTTCACTTTAACTTCCTTATCAAATCTGATTCAAATTGCATGAGTTCGCTTTTTGTGTTGGGATGGCAAACGAAAACTTCAGAGGGCAGCAGGCTTTGACCTGTCTGCCATGCTGAAAACAATTAGTTTAAGCAATCTAATATAAGATTTCTTTTTATAACAAAAATATATACTCTGCAGTGAAGTAGTTAAAAAAAAACAGGCTTAGATAGAGAGCGTGCGCAATGCCATCCAGTTCCTATGGTGAACTTCTTGACTCGAGAGACGACGTAGCAATTGTATGGCCGCTGGATTAGGTTCAGGGCAGGAGGGTGGCAACTGTCACTGCATCTCAGATATTAATCTCTCTGTTTTAGGTCATAAGACGTTTTGACTATGGTCAAAGTCAAATTATTTCAAGTTTAACTAGGTTTATAAATAAATATAATAATATTTATAATACTAAATTAGTTTCATCGAATCAATAATTGAATACATTTTTATAATAAATTTATCTTGAGTTGAAAATGTCACTATTTTTTTTCTACAAGCTTGACCAAATTTAAAGCAGTTTGACTTCGACCAAAGTTAAAACGTCTTATAACCTGAAACGGAGGGAATACCACGCATGCATGTGTCTAATTAAGATAAGCGTGATCATCATTTACAGACTGAGACTAGCAATACATATCTAAGAGAATATTCTTAGGAAATTTTATGGATAGATAGATATGTTTTGAGTGCACCGATCATATATGACTCTGATAAGTGCACCCTTTTTACAGCCTTCAAAGTAACAGTACAATGCAACCAATGCGCTTCCACATATTGGGCCGTCGCCGAGTCTTTACTGCCGTCCAAATAATATTAACTTGAAACTCATAACAGCCTTGCTTGCAGGTAAATTCTTCATCATAGTGCCCTAGAATGAACTCAAAGCTTTGAGCTTCATCTTCACCCTCAAACACACAAATATTGAGCACCAGCTCCTTATCCAATGGGACAACTACTAAACCACGATTTAGCTGAACAGATCCATCAGCTGTAATCTCTGTCCGAGTGTCTGCAACTTCACTGTCATAGAGAACTATTTCATCTTCATCATTTCCAGTAGTCCAAGCAGTCACTCTACCAGTGAAAACAGATGCCCCCCCTAACATTTTCACCGCAAGGGTAGCTTCAACGGCATATTGAACAGTCACGAATGCAAATTCCACTACACTTAGCCAGCTCCTGAGATGTAAAGTCTCGAGTCTCCCTGTTCGACAGACGACATTGTATGGCAGCAAACCTTTGCTAAAATCTTTGTCAACTCCATCATCGCCCTTCATCTTTAAATTGAACTCGAAAAACATATAATCTTTTGCACCAAGACCTCGCTTTGGGCCTGTCAAAGTTAGCATGTCCTCCTGCAAAGGGATTTAGGGAAATAACATAACAAAATTACATAAAAGGAACCAAGCTCAGTAATCAAGCATAATTCAGATGATGTCAAGACCAGGTTCAACAGAAACTTGAGAAGATACCAACAATTTGATATTTAAGTGTTTACAACCAAAACAGTTGCTCACCAAAACCTTCGGTGGTGGTGAGTCTGACACCAACCCAATTTCTATAAATTGGTCGGTCTCTCATGTATGTGTGCTTGTTAGACTAAAATAAGACATAGTCTAACTAAAAGATCAAACAAAAATGAAAGCCAACTCATGCATTTTATGGGCAGTATGGACCGATTAAATGACAAAGATATACTTCTCTAGATCATGCAATTTAATCATAAGCAACTTATGAGAATTCAGTTAATGTCATTAGAAGATCCAAGACTTGATAATTTAGCACTGTCAACTTCCATCATGCCCTGTTAATCACATTATATGCCTCATTTCTATTTTCACAAAATGAGATAAAACATTAAGTGTATGTGTGAATCAAACTTGCTCACTAGTACATTGAGGACCAACTGTTCATTTACACGATTTAATGTGCAAGAAAAAAAGAATATAACAGAGTGAAATGCATTTTCTGAGATGAATTGATGAATCTTTTGGTGGTATGTAGCCAAGCCGATTTGTTCTTACAGTGTTTATAACAGGTTAAAGCAAGAGAAAATATGTGCAGACGTGCAAACCACTTGATAAACATTTGATATTTCCAATAATACTGAAAATTATCTCATGTGTGGGTGAGGTGATATTATGCAACTATGTAAAAGTTCAAGAAAAAAACCCAATCTAGTTTGTGAGATATGAAACAGGCAAACAGCAAGAAAAGGACTTATTTTTTCCTGGTTTCTCAATTTCATATCTCACAAAACGGATTGAGTTTGATCCTAAATTTTACATGGTTCTATAACATCACCTCCCTGAACTTTTATACGGTTGTTTTGACCACGTAGATGGTTTCCATTATTCCATCCCGGTAAAACTTAAAACCAGAACATATTGACAGAAACAGTCTAATCTCATAAAAATAAGGAAATATGCTATTGAGTAGTGAATGGCAGTGTAGTAAGAGGGAGGACGAATCGAATACAAACCGGTGAGGTGATGATCTGGGGATCGTCCCTGCTACGCCTGAACAAATACACACACCTATAGTCATACTGATCTCTCGCTAACACGGTGCCGAAGATGCTGATAGGGTAACCCACGTCAGATTCGACAACCTTGATTGAAATGATATTCATGGAGGTCTCCAAATGGCGATAATCAGAGGAAGTGAGCGAGTGAATCGGTGGCCCAAGCCCAGCCTTAGCTGTAAAATCAGAGACATGAGACTTCAATCAGACAAAAGAATATGTATGGTTTTTACACACTAAAATAAATCCATCAACAAATGTGATGAATGGATAGAGAGGCCGCATACGAATGTTAAGTTGAATTAGATCATATACAAGGAATTGAGGTTAAGGGATTGATGCATGGTGAATGCATGTACTCACACTCTTTGTCGAGGTCGAAGAAGGCGGTGTTGAAGAGGCAAAGGCGGGTAGGCTCAAACCACTCCATCTTGGGGTCGAATTCAGTCACCTCCCATATACGAACCATGTGAAGAACCTTCAACACCTTCTCCTCCCATGTGAGCTCCTCCTCCTCCCAATTCTTCCTCCTCGGTTTAGGCTTCAGCTCCGACTTAGTCTCCACCACCTTCTCCTTCTCCTTCTCCTTCTCCTCACCATATGTGTGCTTCTCATTACAATTCACCTTGCCCATCTCTTCATTGCCACCACCACCACCGCTAGCTGCAACCACTAGGGAATTTTGAAAAAAAAAAATCATGTATCCGGCAAAACAATGAACAAACGGAGAGGGATATTTCCTGAGGTAAATACTTACTAGAAGGAATGTCGGAGCAGGGACTAGGGCAAAGATGACCCTCTTCGTGATCGCATTCGATAGGGGTTTCGGAGTCGACTAGATCAACGACCGTGCGAGCCTTCTCCTTGTCCTTGTCCTCCCATGCGAGCTCCCGCAGACGCCGCGTTATCGCGGCGGGCAGACTAGGCTCCGTCGCAGTAGCAGCATCTCCACCACCGCCAATCACCGCAGCGCGCCACCGCTCATCCGTGTCCACCATCGATCTTTGCCGCCGCTGCCAGATGAGATGATATAAGACTGAGGGTAATCTAAAAATTCTGAACGTTCACAATTGCATTGGGAATTGCATCCGAATATAGAGGATTGATTGGCGTGAGAGAGCGTACATACCGTAGCGGGAACACCGATCCTCTCCAACTCCGGCTGCTCTTCGGGGACGAGCCGCCGCCGCCGCCGCCGAGCCAGAGGCGGTTAGGGTTTGGCAAAGATGTCAGATGGGCTATTCCGTCTCTCTCGGACAGGCCAGATTCTCTAAAGGCATACCCTCCTTCCTTTCCTGGGCCCGTTTGGCACGTTACGGCTTTCTAGTTTTGGAGGCCGAATAAGTTCACAATAGGTCCCTCCATTTATCGCATTTTCGTCCTCAATCCGGAAAACCGGATACAACACAATTACAAAATCATGCAAACAATCCAGAAAACCAGATACAACACATCCTTAACTTACAAAGCCATGCAAATGAGATCCCTCAGTAGTATTGACCCGGGCTTGGCTAATATGGAACCTACATAGATCTTTTAACAAGGTTTTCATCCTATATAGCATTGACGTGACACTTACGTGACAATTTGATCCAGAAAAATAAAAAAATCATGGGCCCACATATTAGTTACACACACAAAACAATAAAAACAATGGTGAGGCCCATGTGGCCTCACATGTCATCCTCGCTACTCTCTGCTTCTCTCTATCCTCTCTTTTCCTTGCAAGGAGAAGGCCAGAGCAAGCGACGAGCGGGGTGGGCGATGGGCGGAGCAGAGGGGCAGCGGCGAGCGAGCTCCTCGTCCCCTCCACCTCCTACTCCATACCGCGCATCCTCGTCGTAGGAGTCAAAGGTGGGGGAGGGTTCTCGAAAGAGGCGGGGTGGAGAGGCCGGCAAGGAGATGGGTGGCGCGCAGGAGAGGAGCGGAGGCACGCCGAATGAGGGAGAAGGAGGCGGAGGCCTTGAATGTCACGCGGCACGGCACCGAGTTGGAGTGTGTCGTGCAGCTAAGGGCGGAGGCGGTGGCGTGGCAGGCGAAGGCGCTTGCCGACCAGTCCACCGTGGTGGCGCTCCACGCATAGCTCCAGCATGCGGCGGTTGCGGCTATTAACGGTGAAATTTGGTAAGCCCCTAGGAGAATTATCGCATCGCCAATAGTCGGATTCCTGCTATATTCGGTTAAGGAAATTGATCTATTTATCTAAAAGTGACCGAGTTCAAGAATGATGCGGCATAGCAAGTTATCTATTAATTAGGAATAATTTGTTAGTTTCCTTTTATCTTTAGGAAAGTGTGTTTAGTGTCCTATAAGGACTTTATATTTTCCTTTTATCTTTAAGAAAGTTTCTTTCTTGTCCTACAATGACTAGTATCTCCCCATGGGTATAAATATGTACACCCGGGGTCATTGTAAAATATCTCACAATCAATACAATTCGGCGCATCGCCACACATTTATACTTTTCTACTTTATTTACCATCTGGCGGAACTTGGCACCTGACACAGGGCTGCATCGGTTTTCGATCTCCGGCGAAGGGGCAAGTCCAATGTTTCGCCGGCCCAGGCAATTGTCTAGTCTACGTCGGCGTCGTTCAAGACTGCATCAGTACGTTCGACCTCTTGGATTGCTCCGGTTTGGATGATATATTTGTCTGCCTATTTATCATATGTCTTAGTTAATCTAGTCTTAGTATCTCAATTTAGCTCTATCAGTTGTTTCTCGCTTTAGGGTTCCTGTCGGTACCGGCTAAATTGTTTTACTAGATTAGATTAGCTAAGACATCTACCACCCAAAAATTAGTCAAAGGCTTGATTGTCTAGATATTATGTTTCTATTCATACTTAGTGCTGCATAAGTTAAGTTTGATCTACTAAGTCGTGTTTAAAACCATAATCCCTAGCCTGCTTTTTGACTGCCAATAAGTGTTTCATCGGGGTTTCAGCCAATGAGTTATCTAGACGTTGCATCAGCTTACAAGGATTGCATACATATTGGATTTAGCCGATGGCAACAAAGATTTTACTGATTATCTAATCTTGTGGATTTAATGCTATCGGACCTCCAGCCGATGTATGCTTTAACCTTCGGATCGATGCTTATTTACCATATCATTATTAGCCGAATGGTTTCTACTGGACTATATTATTGCTATATTATATTATCATCAACCGATTGCCTTTATATTGTTGTTTACATCAAGTGTCAGATTCTACATTGGATATATAGTCGATAGCTCAAAACCCTATCGCTATCGGCTGACATAGGCATGGGCTAGAATTACTCCATCGGCTTGTCAGCCGATCGGCTCATTGATATGCTATTTGTATATTTTGTCAGTTGCAGAGTCAAACTGACTGGCAGACCCGCATCTCATCGTCCTTTGGATATGCACTGGAACTAAGCAGATCTCCCAGGCCAGTGTGTGTTTTTTGCGTCAACAGCGGCACGGGCAAGGGATAAGGCGGCGGAGGATGACGACAACAACGCCGGCCCTGTGGACAACGCTGAGTCTAGGTTCTTCGACCTGGACAGTGTGGAGGAGGTGACCTAGCCACCACCGCCGCCGCGTCGAGGCCGTGCTGGACGTGCCAGGTGAGGCCGTCCTCCCTTGTTGTGGATATTATGGGTACCCCATACCCATACGGCATGGTTATCCGACTAGTCATAGGGGATAACTTATATCTATGGAATATGTAACAGATCATGACTTGGGTGTTACGTTTCCTTGTATATTACGGAACGGCCTAAAGTCCTGGTTTGATAATATTGTAAAGTAGATTTAGGAAACCGATACCGTATTGGTTAAGGTTTCTATCTTGTAATCCTGCCCCCCATCCTATATAAGGTGGGCAGGAGGCCCTCTAGGGGGCATATGAGACAACCTGATCGTCAGATCTATACTACACCCGGCGGATTCAAATCCCCAAACAGGAGTAGGGTATTACCTCTCATTGAGAGGGCCTGAACCTGTCTAAATCCTTTGTCTCTGCATCCATCCACTTTTAGGTCTCGTGCGCTACCCCGTTTTATTATTGCCGAAATCATGTTTCGACAGTTGGCGCGCCAGGTAGGGGTAAACGCCGAGTTTCCTGACGACGAGTGCGATGGAATAAACTTTATGAGTCGCCGGCTTCGTCTTCGCTTTGGGAGCTCCTTGATTCCTCGCCGCCGACGACTTCAACAAGACGAATCGTCGCTGCTATTCTCTGCCTGATCTTGTTCGCATCAGCACGACGGCAACGACGGGGCAACGACAGCTCGACGGATTTGATGGTCGTCCTCGTCCACCACCAAGCCTACTGGTCCAATCTACCCAACGAGGATGCCATGGTGTTGCAAGATGGATCTACAAACACGAAGCATGCCAAAACCGATCTAATCGGATGCATAGGAGACGGCTGCAGCCACGCCGATGCCTTCCTGCCGTCCTGCGTCGTGCTGATGGACACCAACGCCGCCCGCGACTGCGACCTCCGCCTCCTCCGCTCCGTCTCGGAGTCAGTCGAAGAGATCAATCTCGGCGAGTTTTTTCCTTTTAATCTCCGACTTCGCCGGGTTTTTTCCTTTTCAACTTATTGTTGTTTATTAGATTGATCTCTAAATGTCAGATTAATCTCTCTTGGTATTTTCTGCTGTTTGCATGTAACGCCGCGGCACTACTCTTGCCGACTGGTGTTTCCGTCTACATGGCTGGCCTATTAAGCCGCCGCTGTTGGGCGTCTACGACTTCACCACCGACCTGCCTCCGTCGCCGCCGACTGGTGTCCCCGCCTATACGGTCGGTTGGTCACACCACCGTTGATGGGCATCGTCATCTTCACCGCCGGCCTGCCTCCGTCGCCGCCGATTGGTGCCTCCGCCTACACGGCTGGCCTATTATGCCGCCGCTGTTGGGCGTCTACGACTTCACCGCCGGCTTGCCTCCGTCGTCGCCGAGTGGTGCCTCCGCCTACACGGCTGGCCTATTATGCCGCCGCTGTTGGGCGTCTACGACTTCACCGCCGGCCTGCCTCCGTCGCCGCCGAGTGGTGCCTCCGCCTACACGGCTGGCCTATTATGCCGCCGCTGTTGGGCGTCTGCGACTTCACCGCCGGCCTGCCTCCGTCGCCGCCGATTGGTGCCTCCGCCTACACGGCTGGCCTATTATGCCGCCGCTGTTGGGCGTCTGCGACTTCACCGCCGGCCTGCCTCCGTCGCCGCCGATTGGTGCCTCCGCCTACACGGCTGGCCTATTATGCCGCCGCTGTTGGGCGTCTACGACTTCACCGCCGGCCTGCCTCCGTCGCCGCCGATTGGTGCCTCCGCCTACACGGCTGGCCTATTATGCCGCCGCTGTTGGGCGTCTACGACTTCACCGCCGGCCTGCCTCCGTCGCCGCCGAGTGGTGCCTCCGCCTACACGGCTGGCCTATTATGCCGCCGCTGTTGGGCGTCTACGACTTCACCGCCGGCCTGCCTCCGTCGCCGCCGAGTGGTGCCTCCGCCTACACGGCTGGCCTATTATGCCGCCGCTGTTGGGCGTCTGCGACTTCACCGCCGGCCTGCCTCCGTCGCCGCCGATTGGTGCCTCCGCCTACACGGCTGGCCTATTATGCCGCCGCTGTTGGGCGTCTACGACTTCACCGCCGGCCTGCCTCCGTCGCCGCCGAGTGGTGCCTCCGCCTACACGGCTGGCCTATTATGCCGCCGCTGTTGGGCGTCTACGACTTCACCGCCGGCCTGCCTCCGTCGCCGCCGAGTGGTGCCGCCGCCTACACGGCTGGCCTATTAGGCCGCCGCTGTTGAGCGTCTACGACTTCACCGCCGGCCTGCCTCCGTCGCCGCCGATTGGTGCCTCCGCCTACACGGCTGGCCTATTATGCCGCCGCTGTTGGGCGTCTACGACTTCACCACCGGCCTGCCTCCGTCGCCGCCGACTGGTGTCCCCGCCTATACGGTCGGTTGGTCACACCACCGTTGATGGGCATCGTCGACTTCACCGCCGGCCTGCCTCCGTCGCCGCCGAGTGGTGCCTCCGCCTACACGGCTGGCCTATTATGCCGCCGCTGTTGGGCGTCTACGACTTCACCGCCGGCCTGCCTCCGTCGCCGCCGAGTGGTGCCTCCGCCTACACGGCTGGCCTATTATGCCGCCGCTGTTGGGCGTCTACGACTTCACCGCCGGCCTGCCTCCGTCGCCGCCGAGTGGTGCCTCCGCCTACACGGCTGGCCTATTATGCCGCCGCTGTTGGGCGTCTGCGACTTCACCGCCGGCCTGCCTCCGTCGCTGCCGATTGGTGCCT